AAGAGAATAGAAGAGAAATAAATTAGTAATAAAAAGGCTATAGAAAAACGTTTTTGTGCTAAATCTACCTGACTGATGCCTTCTACTATGTAGTAAAACACATAAACCTTCCTTCAACTATGAATTTGTAAAATATCTCAAAATGTTATACCAGGTCCTTTTTGAATGTAGTTGGACTGTATTTGTAAACAAACTATAGGGCAAAATGAACATGTAATTTAATTTTTATATAAAATATTCCTGCTGGAATTGCAGTAAGTATGGGTTACCTTAGAGGAATCACTTGCTGCCTCCTCATTTTGTGCTGTAGGTTTTCTAATGGAAACAAATACATAGAAATAATCAGTTTATTGTTAACATAAGCAAGGATTTCAAACAGAAGCTTACAATAGCCCCATGCATGGTTTTAAACATTATGTAAGACTTTTGGTGCAAACTTGGAAATCATTTTAATATTCAATGCCTTAAAATAACCTTCACTCAATACTTGAGTTAGGTTGACTTCTTGGCCTTTCATGTTTATTTCTATCTGCATCACCATTTTACCTGCCCAGAAGATCGTCACTTCTTTATCACTCTGCTAAGGGCTCTCTGTTGATTTCAATATTTCAAATGATACTCCACAAGAGAGACGCTCGCTATGCCCATTTTCTAATCATGACATATCCTGCACTGAGGTTTCTCATCCTTCCAGCACTTTGTAGCATGATTAACCTACGACTTCTTGCAACTAGATGGCACATGGCAAGTTGAACAAAACTTGATTTCTAGTGAGCAACACTTACTTAAAGAGTAAATTTAGTAAGAAAAAAAATGAAACTAATAACCTCATTATACTACCATCACTCATTCCCAAGAAAGGCAAGGGGTACCAGGATATTTTAGTGTTTTCAGAATTGGCCATTAATTGAGGTTAGCATTTTGCACACGGCTGCTGCAAGGGATCAAAGCAATCTGCAGATAATTGATCTAGAATTTGTTTGTTAAAACTTCCCCTTGTATTTACTGTACTTATGAAGTAAAAGAGAAGGCATGTTTCAGTGCATAATTCAGAAATTGCAATTCTATAGTTCATTTTCAGCTACAGCACAACCAGTATATACAATGATGTGACAGACAAATGCTGTACCTGTCAGTGGGAGGTGGTTGTAGGTGCTCAAAATACAACAAACCATTGGAATTCACACTCATAACAGTTTCACCCTTGGACTGCAGCTCAACTTGGAAGGGGTTTGCTGTGATTCGAAGTTTGTATTCCTCATTAACACTTGACAGTACCAAAATACCTGCCTCCTTGTGGGATATGAACAGTCTGACAAATGAAAAGCAACAACAGCTTTGTATCAATCAGCAGCACATGAAATCTCCTGTAACTAAATAACAATAGATACAAAAGATAGCCTAAGAATATCTGCATACATTACACAAACCTCAAGGCTAATGTTGAGCCAAAGAAGGCCAGAAATACATGCTGTGCTCAGAGTTTACTGCATAGTGCAAAAAGTGGCTACAGAACTGCCATGAAAATTATCTAGAGCTTGTATTCCTTTCACATTAACAGGTAATGCCTTAGGTAAAAGGTTTGCATTGTAACAAGCAGGTTATTTTCTGATTGGGTCAAACAGGCTCAGGTTTCTTATGTGTATGATAAAACTTTCATTATTTTTAAATACTTTCTTAAGTATTTAACATAATTTTTTGAAAGTAAATAAACCACATGCATTTTTGTTTTCTCTTTGTGTAGGAACTTTATACTGTAGAGGGAAACTGTACTGTAATATAAAGGAAGAAGCCGTATAAGATATTGAAGTGCTAAATCATCATCACTTACATCACCCATCACTTACTTCTGGGTGGTAGGTTCCTTTACAATAACATCAGGAACTTTGTATCTTGCTCTGAGAGGAGATGCTTCATCAATTTTAAGCCTGAAAATATTGCCTTCTATTTCATAAATTTCTACTTGTAGAAGAACCTGTGAGCAAACAAACAGATAAACTCGTAAAGATAAAAAATACTTATTTTTAACACAGCATCACCAAACACGTAATGTCTGAAAAAAAATGAAACATGCCTGCTTTCTGATTTATTGTTCTTTAGCATTGTTGAGAACAATGCTGGTGTAAATTCATCCATATGAATTTACACCAGATAACTCTACTTCATCCCTTTGAAGAAGCAACGCCTTTTAAGTGAACTCTTCATCTTCAAGCATCTGATATCTATCATTACAGAAAAAGAACTTATTATTTTGAAATAGTAGAAAAAACTCTGAATTAAAAATATTTTTCAGAAAAAAAAGTGTTCTATTCAGAACTCTCTTTTTTTGCAAAGACAATTTTTTTAAAAAGTTAAATGCTGAGTAGTAAGGACATATTTAGGCTGATTGTTTGCATTATCTCTAACATCTATCACTGAAGAATCTCAAAACCTGCAAATATTATTAGTTGTGTTGACAATATTCACTGCTCTTTCTGTAAGCACCCTTATGCTTTGTGGTATCTCACCTTATTCTCCTCATGAATGATTTGGAATTTGACATTCTCGTCACTTAATGTGACTGAATCCAACAACACTCGATACAAGGATTTTCCAGGACGTAGAAGTTTCTGACGCCTGTCAAGACAGAAAATTATTTTTCGTCTCCCCAGCTCTTGTAGCTTATATCATACAGAGGGACATAATATTGATATAAATGTTCACTTAATAGTTTTTTATTGAACTTTTCAAATACAATTACTAGCACTTTAAATCAAGAGGAAAAAGAAGGAATATAGTTCTGAGCACACCTAAAGGCTTACGAATGAGATGTTAGAGGAGTTCAGGGGTTCACCCATCACCACCCTATATGGTTTTTAATAAAAGTAATAGTATCAAGTGTCCAGTTCTTAGCTGTACAATTACATTATCGTTCTTTCATTTATCCCTGAAATTTCAGTTGAATAATCTGTTTTTCATTTTCTGTCATATATCTCTGTAACTCCCCAAAGAACACCTTCTAGACTCTGTGGTGATGAAACAGTGTGTGTTTGTAATTTGTAACCTCCAAATACGCACCAAGCAAATTGTTTCTCAATAAATTTGATGACAACAGAGTTTTGACTACAGCTTTTGGCCCTGATAATGTTTTTAGATCAGGGATCCTGAAATAAAGGCTCTTTCAACTGTTTGTAGAATTCTCCATGCCAAACTCATGGTTTTATGAACTATTTGAAGATAAGTGTCTTGGACCTTACCTTAAAGACAAACTTCTTCATTAATAAACCAAATATGTCAGTGACTAATTAGTGTAACAATAGGCAATAATTTCTTTCAGTCACCACAGGAAAAAACACAACAGAGGGAAGAAAAAGGTCAAGAGCACAGTTAGAAATGAGATGAGGAATATGACTTAGCATAAGGTTAACTTTAAGGGACTAGTGAGCTAGAATTTAGATTTGACTCTGAATTCTGGCCAAGGTACTTGCTCAACAGAACTGTAATCACACATGCTATTGTCACAGACTAATGATTCCTATTGAGTATTCTGCTGCTTTGAACTGCAGATAGTCAGGAAACATCCATGAAAAGAGAACAACCTGCATCTGAGTGCACTTAAAATGAAAATATTGCTGGGGCTTTGTCAGATGAGAGGACTGATCCTCCTGAACTTTAATGGAAGACATTCAGGGTGTAAGACTACACGTTTTAAAGTCCACTGATTATTGCTTGCTGATAGGTAAGTGGAATGCTCACCTTTGGTAGATAAATTCTGAGAGCAGACTTGCTGTGATTAAAAGTCAATGTGTAACTACACTACAATTCTCCATACCTGTAAAAAGCAATCTGGTTGCATTTCTTAAAGTTGCTTTTGTCCACAGCCTCATCTTGGACACTAGAAAGAGCAGATAAAGGAAGTGTTTAGATGTGTCCATCACACACATACTGAATGATCAAACAATAGGGGTCCCTTTCAAGAGTGGTGAGGATTAAAGGCAGTGTAGAAAACTCTGGTCCAACATAAAATGTGATGGACCTTGAACTACTGTGTTTAGATATGGGAAGAGTTTCTTATACATTCAGCTTCATGCTGAACCATTTTCTTTTAAACCCTGAAATTTTGAGAAATAATTGAATGTATGAGTAAAGAGACAAATTTCAGCATAGCTGAATTCTTATGGATCTGCATTTTGAAGCCAGACCACCCTCTGCAGTCATTACCGTTAATTATTATTTTACAGTAATACAAATGGAGAAATCGGGAGGACTGGCAGAAGAGAAGAAATACTGCACTCTTTTCTTCAACATTCAGTGGGACCGACAAAGGAGGAAGGCTTCTGATGGTCCTGCTGACAGCTTTATGTTATCTTAGGCTTGAAGTAACTTTTATTAGATAACAGTAAATTTTTTACTTGCCTGAAAGAAAATGGGCTGCCAGTAGTGTCTATCATCAAAGTATTTCCCACATTATGCTGGGCTCAGACACAGATGGAAGGGAATAAGGCATTAGTTCTGGTAGATAAAGCACTGATGCTTATGGAATACTTATTAATTACAGACATGAAATATAGGAAATGCAGACGGCACCCACTGAGGCTCAGTCAAAATTACAAGTCCTCGATTATTATTTGAGATCTCACAGTGACCGTATATTTAGATCACTCAGCCCTTCCTATTTTTGCCTGAAGACACGTATGTCCTTTCGGGTTTTGCTCCAAGTTCGTGTGCCTCTGCTGGCGCATTGAAGGCGGTGCAGCCCGAGCTACCCCCGGCGCTGCGGATGCGCTCGCTGCCCCGCTCCGCCGCGGAAGGCTGTGCCCGGGCCGGGCGGCGAGGACAGCAGGCACGGCCCCGCACGCCCGCCCCCGAGCCCCGACCTGCTGCATGGGCCGGCTCCGCACCCCGCCGCTCCCCGCGGAAAGCGGTGGAGCCTCCCCGGCAAGAGCGGGAGCGAGGAGAGGGCCGGCCGAGGAGCGCCTCCCAGGCTGCGTTACCTGACTCCCCCCGGCGTCCCCGCCTCCATGGCGGAGCTGCCCCGAGCGACCCCCGCGGACAGAAGGGGTGGCGGCCCGCCGCGCCAGCTGGGGAACGCCGTGCGCCCCAAGAGCGACCGGGCCGGCGAGTGACACCCGGGGGCGGTGACAGCCCGGGCCGAGCCGGGAGCGGCTCCGCCCAGCGCCGCTCTCGCCGGCCCACGACGGCCGCGTCCCTCCGCGGGGAGCGGAAGAGGCGCGGCCAGCGCGGCGGCCTCCGTAGGGCGGGATGGTCCAAATGGCGGCTGCCGGTTCTCCTGGTGAGTGCGGGGGGAGCGGGGCCGGGCCCGCAGCCGCCGGGCCGGCCGGTGTGACGACGGTCGGAGCGAACGTGTGCGGGCGGGAGGCCGTGGCTGCTCCGCGCGTCCTGCTCGGGCGGGACGGCTGCGCTCGGGGGCGTCTCTGCCCAGGCCGCGCCTCTGTGGAGCCTGACCCGGAGCTGGTGCGGGGGCTCGGGGCCATTGCTGCCTCCTGCCTTGCTGCCGGGCTTGAGCCCTCTCGGCGGGTCGGCGGTGGCGGCAGGGGAGAGAAGGCTTGTGCGGGAAATAGTCCGATGGGCGGCGGAGGTAGAGCCGCCCCTGTGAGGCCCGTGGGAAGGGAGGGAAGGAGGGAGGGTCTTGCCCGGCCGTGCCCGGCCTCGATGTGCCCTGTGCGGGGGAGGCCGCCCCGCGCCCCCCGTGCGGCCGGGCTGGCGGTCCGCAGCGCCGTGGCCTGCCCTCGGGAAAGCTGGGCTGCTGAGCGCCGGACCGAGAGAGGTGTGGGCCTTAGGGCAGGGCAAGGGATTTCGGCACTTCTGATAAACCCTGCGTGCTTGAATTTGTGTGGATGACAGCTGTGCTGCCTCAAATTCGGTCGGACTTTTATCAGACAGTGAGAGTAATATGCACTTTATGGGAGGCTTTTGAGCCTCAGGAACAAAACTGAAGGATCCCAGTGAACGCTTCTATTGGTTCTTAGAACAGAATTTTTTTTTTGGATGGTCCAGACCATCTCATCAGCAAGACATGGGTATCATTTCAACAGATGTCAACGTGAAGTTGATTCTGCTTGCAGATCAAAAAACCCCAAGCCTTTTAAACCATCTTTAAGAGTAAGTTGGAGGGTGGTGAAGCATGACTGGAAAGTCCAGTAAGACTGGCTCCAGATTTGACATTTACTTTCATTACTGTATTGACTTAAAATACAAAATGGAAGATTATGTTTACTTAAGCTCAATGACATTAAGCCTGATGCCAAAAGATTTTTGCATTTTATACATTTTTCATCTATTAGTAGCTCTATACACTATTACTGTGTACTTACATAATTTGTTAGCTAACTTCAGTACTTCTGTTAGGTTAGACAAACACATTCCTGGAATCCTACTATAATCACATTTCTTCAGTGAACCAAGGACATTTCACTTTCCCATATATTTAGACATAAACAACATGGAGCTAGAAGCAAGGGCGAGGCTTCAGTAGGGGGTTGAATCAAGAGGGGATTTACTTCAATAACTGTACTTCTAATTGGGGATTCTTGTAATTTATGCTAATTTGGTAAACTTAGAAAAGTGTTGAAGCCCTACATCACGTGTGCACTCCACCATAAGTGCACCTGGAGCACCGTCAATAAACAGTAACTCTTTTTTTGATTTCTGACTTGTTTGGCTTGTGATTTTAGGGCTGATAAGGCATCAAACCCACTAATTCCTCTTCCTTTTTTGTGCCTTTGCAGGGGAAGAAGTTTAGCTTTGGGAAGATTCTCTTCAGCAACACCACCATTTTCCTGAGATGTAAGTGGTTACAAGGGGTTAACCTGCTCTCTCTGCTGTTTGATGCCCCGCCTATTTTTAATATTTGGAACTCAAACCACTGTGAAGTGTTTAACTGCACTGGCTTCTGAGACAGCTAATGTAGCACTGCATGAAAGCTACAGCTCTGATATGGTTGAGTCTGTTAACAGCCTTGGAGCTTCCCAGTGGTGATCTGCTTAGGTTGTTGCAGAAATGAATGGCTCTATTCATGCTCTCTGTGGAGAGGGCAAGATGGGCAATGGGGGCAGCACTGTGTTCCATATAGTGGGTAATCATGTGTGGGGTGTGCTCCACTCTGCTGTGAGGTGTGCTTTTCCTATCTAAGATTTGTTAAATTCCCCTGTCTGGGAGATCTGGTGCCAGATGGACAAGGGCTGTTTGTATACTGATGGGAATACAGAAAGCAATGCTTTTTGAAGCCTTGTTTCTTTTTAACTGAGTTCTTCTGAGTGTTGTAAGGGAAAGTTGCACACGCAGCAGAGCTCTCCTGAGGGGTGTTTTCTCCTGATCCCAGTGTGTGAGTGGGATCATCGAGTCTGTTCTGTTGAGCAAACATCTTGGCAGCTGCAGCAGAGCTCTCCTGAGAGGTGTTTTCTCCTGATCCCAGTGTGTGTGAGTGGGATCATCGAGTCTGTTCTGTTGAGCAAACATCTTGGCAGCCTTCCCATTTCTTCTGTGCATTGCTCTTCGCTGGTCTGGCCAGGTCTATGGGTTATGTAGGTTTCTGGTCCAAGGAAGGTTTTGTGAAATACTGTCTTACCTGTGAATGTGAGGACAGCATCTACATGGCAGTAAGATGTTACAGAAGTGATTAGTTGATTTAGAAAGGTGTGAAATCTTTTTTGAACACTTTAAGTGGTTGTTTGCACCAGCTTTTACCATGAGGGAAAGCTGTTTAGTCTCTGTACTTACCTTGTGGTTTTTCAGGTTTAATTTCCAATACATGCCCTTCTTGGGATGGTGTTTCGAGGAGAGTTTATTGAAGTGCCTCTCTTGATTCTACGTGCATCTGAAACTGGAGGGTAGAATTTGAGTGGTTATTAGAGAAGGTCCATCAGTTCATTGTTAGGGCTTTCCCTTGACAAGTGTAGCTGAGACACTGAGGTTCACATCTTGCAGTGTGACAATTGCAAGAGTACAAATGCAGGATCAAAATTAGAAATCTGCTGCTTGGGAAGAGGAGGGGGGTTGAAAGTGCATTTTGGTGCTTTGGTAGGTTTTAGGCTTTCTTGTCTAAAGTTTAATAGAAATAGTGTACTTGTAGTTACATGGCATCTAAAATACAGGTCTCTGAAGTGAAGCGTGTGGTAAATCTACTTGTGCCAGAATAACTGAGAGATGGAACTAAGGCATGGAAAAACAAATTATTTGTTGTAGGGTGCATCTGTCAGTAAGAATTTGACCCCCTGCCTCCTGATGTAGAATTGAATTATACTGTGCCGTCAACCTTTAAACAGGCATTAAGCCTTACAATTCTTCAGTGAAGACACCTGTTTTACATACCGGTGTGATTAAAAGATTTGCATTAATTTGGAAAATGAATCACTGAAAGAGGAAGGAACAAAGGCTGGGAACTTATTAATTTTCTCAGCCTAGATGAAACTTAAACTGTACCTGATGCTGAGAAGCTTCAACTTTGTGATTTTTCTTTTCTGCCCGTGCCTGTGTGGAAACTTGTCTCTTTGTTTCCTGTCTGTTGCCTCTTACATTTGCTGTGTGATGTTTGTGGGGACAAAATGACCATTCTTGCCAAACATGATTGCTCATGGCTTGTTCATGGTTTTCCTGAGCACCTCTATCTCTTAATCTCCTTTTCCCCCCTTTTCTTGATTTTTATTTTCTTTTTTTAAAATCTGTATGGCACATTGGTGTCTGATGCTTTCTGCTTCTGACTGGGAAGATTGCTGCTGGCATGTAGTGTTGTCAATAATGAATTTATTTTTATCTGCTTTGTTGAAGTACTGTTCTAGAAGACATTTAGTTTCTTGTATAGGATAGTGATAGAAATCCTGCTCTCTGTAAATGAGTACAAAGACTGCATTCAAGTTGAATATTACTGGCTTTTATTTGAAGGCTGAGGAACTTAGATTTCCATTTTGCTGAATTCAGTAAATAGCAGGGATACTTTTTATGACTTTTGAAGTACTTCCTTTTCAAAGTTTCTGTAGTTTTGATGTTTGCAGATATTGTGGGTTGTTCTAGCAACCTATTTTACCTCTGTGGGTGCTTCCACTGAATATATAGTTGCCTATTTATTTTTCACAGAGAAAAAGGTATTTAAAAGGTATTTTGAATCTTATTTTTTGCTAGCACTTTTTTTGAGATATTCCTCATTTGGTCAGTTTTATCTGAAGAGCCTGTGTTGTCGCAGAATTTGCCATCTGCCCATGTCACTGCGGTGCTTGTGCTGCCGTTCAGTTTCTTTGTTGTGCCCTCTGCAACATCTGGGGCAATGTGGAACATGTGTGCTTTGTTTTCAAGTGTACCAGAAGGTGTCATAAGGAAACTCATTTTTTTCAGTGATTTTACTTAATTTTTTGGTGTTAGAAACTCAGTTACTGAGTTTTTAGCTGTATGTGTTTTAGTACTCATGAGGTGTAACATGGGATTAGTCAATTAAAACGTGGTGGCAGGGTTTCCTTCTAATTGCTTTTTCTACCTGCAGTGGTCAGTATGGAAACATTCCTTAGAAGTGGATAAATAAGAGAGTTGTGGATGCATCCGCTGATCTGAATGTTGTCTGTAAATTGTAGGAACCTCGTAGCCACTGCAAGTATTCTGTTAACTCTAAAGAGTTTTGCCATTAGCTGACTGGGGAAACACAAATATAATCATCTAAATGGCTCTTCCCAGATTCTGAATAGTCACTCCTCATTTTATTTAAGGGTTGAACTTGCCTTCTTTGTGTCAAATTTTCTTCATTGGGCTTTAGTTTAAGAATGAGATTTGAAACACAAAAACCCACACAACCTTTCCTGACTAGGGAGTAAGTTTTGTGTTTCACTTTTCATGCATGTTGTTACAAAAGTAAATCAAAGAGGAAAGTTGTCTTGTTGCTGTTTTAGGTAGTGTTGCAGCTTTGACAGCATGGGCTAGCGTATACCTTGTTTGTATTTTGGGAGGCTGGATGTGAACTGGCACAATCTTACCTTCATTTCCTTGATGATGGCATTGATATATTTAAATTATATGTGGAAATGGCTTATTATCCTGTTCCTAGCTTTTTCTGCCTGTTACATGTGCCCCTACCTGTGAAAGGGACGCCCTTTTTGTGTGTTGGAGTCACTGATGTTCTCCTCATTTGCTATTTGGAATTGCTGAAACATCCTTGATTGTCTTCAGAACAAAAAGTTTCCAAATTATCTTCAGCTCTTTAATATAATTGTGTAATGCTGTAATGGAATTCTGTTCATATGCTTCTTTCCTTCACTGAACAGTAATGAATTACTTGAGGAAAATATTTTTAATATGTTTAAAATGTGATTATGTTGGTTTTGCACAGAATGGCAGGAGAAACCTGGGAGGCATACGTGTCTTACATATCTTATGACTTTTTTTGTTTGTTTGTTTTCTTAGTTGAAGGAGATGAAAAAGCTTGTGAACCTTCCCAGGGTTTCAATGTAACTTGGTACTTAAGATACTCTGACTGCTACAATGAAGTCTTCAACTTTGGGGTAAGAATTCTGTGGAAAAACATAGGTTATGATTTTTAGAGGTAAGCAGATCTTGGAAGGAGGGGATTAGAGATGTCTCCCTTGCATCCATGTTGTGATTTGGGCCTGAAAGACACATTCTTCTGTTGGAAGATAACAAATTTCTGGAGTAGATTTGAAATGATCCAGAGCTTGCTGCAACTGCTGACTTTTTTTGAATTTTGGTTCAGGTGGAAGTGTTTGTCCAAATTGTTTTAAACCCAGGAATTAAAGTGAATACATTGACTCTAAAATGAGTGAGTTTATTGTATTTGAAATTATTTGCAAGAATGCTTAATGACAGTGAATAGAAAAATTTGACTGTTTACATGTTAAGGCTAAATTCTGTTCTTTATGGATGCACATTGCAAGCATTAGCAATTTGTGCAAAATGTATAATGTTTATATCAAATGTGGTAGAACATAGTTGTGTTTTCTGTGGTTAATATTTTCCCATGTTTACTTAAATTATTAATTATGACAATTGTAACTACTAATGTAACACAGGACTGAGTCTTCACTCTTTAAAATGATAATGCAGAGTTTTTTTGTGTAGACTGAAGTTTGTTTCCTGCTGCATCTCTACTTTTTTATTCTTACTCAAAGCTTGTATACCATCATTGCTATACTCTTGTGTGGTTTTGATGCCTTTGTTCTACTAAATTTGATTCAAGAGTGTGTGCAGAGTGAAACTATGGAGCTTTTCAGGTCTTGCAGCTGTCTACTGAGATAAACCATTTGAAATACTTGATGCTAACCTAAGTTCTACTTTGTTTGGCAGGATGAACAAGCAGATAACTACTTTGGGACTACAGCTGAAGAGCATCCGGGTTGGTCAGGATACTATGCCACTGCTTCTCTCCTCTTTCCAAACTGCTCTGAGCTCTTCAGGCCTCAGGTATGGGTAGAAACCTCAGAGTTTGCTCTGCTGTCTTCTACAATATGTAGAGAAGGTGGTGATTCTTGTTAGATCTATTGCCATCTGATGTACCACTGTAGGTTGGGAGGTACTTCTTTTTATCTGTTTGTGACAACCAAATTGTGATGATGATTTCTTAATTTTCCTTCACTTCTGGCTTGCTATTCAATGTTTTACTTACCGTAGTGAGAAAACCCCAACCCAGTCACTGTAAAAGTGATGTATAGTTCAATGCTTCTTTTAGTTTGTGGTTTTGTGTTCTGAATTTGTTTCATTTACAGGAGGCTGCTGCTAGTTGATTTGAAGTGGCAGCAGAGTAAAAATCCCACTAAACTTGAATCAATAAAGGACTGGCTTTATTAGTCAAATAATGTTTATTTAGAATAATGAAAATGAGTGTTGGAAAATTAATTACTTAAGCACTCATGGAATAAGAGTGTTAGAATATGTTGGGAAAAAATCAGGTAAAAGCAAGAAGACAATGCAAAATTAGCATAGGGAAGTAATGTGCCCACATCAGCTCTACACCAGCTGTATATCAGCAGGCTGGTGATAATACCAGTATAATTTGCTGTCTTTATTTAATGGTATACTTAAGAATTGAAGGCAAATTATGGAGTGTTGCATGTCTTCAGCCATTCCTCATGTAGACAAAAGATCGTGGATAAAAATACTGGAAAATGTCTCATGGCTATTGCACCTAGCGTTGTGGGTTGCTTTTTGGCATTTTTGGTTGTTTGGTTGTTTTAATTAAGAAAAAAGACTAATGCCTAAATATGGCTTTTAATAATCTGTTTGCATGCCTCTAACTCCTTTGATGTGTGAAGATGGCTTGAAAGGCATTCAAAGAGAAAGACAAAAATCTATGATGCATTCTTTTTATGTTTAATAATAGGAGAAGTGTCACTTTTGCTTTTACTTGGTGTTGTAGAAGAGATCTTGTGGGTTTACCTGTATAATGTGGACTTGGGCATCCTAACTAAACATGCTTGTGAAAGTCTTTAAGGTTTTAAAAGTCTCTAAGTTTTCATCCAATGCTTCTGGAAAGTCTGTGGAATGCTTAACAATATATTCTTGTCAGATACTAATTTCTGAAGTTTCACAGCAATTTCTTCTCTAAATGGTTCAGCTTTATCCTTGTGATAGAGCAGTTTCACTAGATTTCAAGTCACCATAGTTCAGGAGAGTTGGAAACATTTTGATCTCTAATAGGTACTCACTTATCCAGGGACTTACTTTTGCATAGATTAAAGCAGAAATCTCAAAACCCTGTATCTGTTTGTGGTGAATTAATCATGTGATGGGGATATGCAACTGATTCACATTTCAAAAAGAAAATTAACTTCACTACTATCATGTCTGGTTTCTAAAAATAGATACCTGTTATTTGAGGGGAGGAAAAATAACTGTCAAATTACAAAACATTAAGTGTTCAAGACTTCTTGCATAAAAGGACAATTGTTTGATTTAGAAAAATGAAAGCTCTCCAATACAGCTGTTTAAAAAATAATGAAGTCTATTGAAAGCTCTTCTGGTTATGTCATGTTAATGTGTGAAGTGCCTATAAATGTTAAAGTGCCTGTAAAGTGTCTATAAATTATTTACCTTTCTTATATCTTGCAGATTTTCTATAAAGAATTTGTTCATCCAGAGCCTCTCTCACCCGAGAAACAAGAGGTAATTTTCCTTTCCTTCTAATGAGGCAGTGTAGTCATGAACAAGGTAGTTTTGGCAAATTTACTTACTCATTTTTCTATGTTTTTTTTTTCCCCCCTAAGGGCTTAAAGGATAAGAAGGAGAGTGCAGGAAATCATACAATGGTGACAGATAAAACTGTATGTATACTGAATTTAAGCATAGCTTGTAATTCAGCAGTCTTATTTTGTTTTAGTTTGCTTTTTAAAAATTTGAATTTCTTTGTATAAGAACTTGATGGTAGCATATTCTGTGGTTTTTGGCACCTGGAATTTTTTAGCTTGAAACTAGGCAGTGCTGGAAAAACAGAAAACAGAGTAACTGAGTAACTGCTTCTTCTGTAAGCAAAATATAGAACTGATACCATTCAAACCAATAGTATAAATTTAAAAAAAAATTCCATTGTAATTTAAATTGTCTTCTTTAAGTGATGACTGTTTCTTACAGGATACGTTTGGTTTTGTCTTCAGTCAGTTTTTTGAGATGTTGTAGTTAGATTACTTTTGTTTTTAAGTCTCATAGTATTTTTATTATATATTTTGTATATATTTTGTTACTAGGAACATTTTCCGAAATTACTTCAAATTGAATATCCTGCATACCAAGAAAGAAAATGTATTTTACTCCTTGTGTGTATAAGGGGCCATTTGTTATAAAGCTAAAACATAAGTAGATGTGTGCCATTGCAAAGTAAAGAATCAATGCAGCAAGAAAAGATATTTTAAAGGCAAAATTTGCGTATATATATTTATCAATTTTCTTTAAAGTTTACTCTTAAGTTTGATGTTTGGTTAATATTAGCGTAAACTATTTTTAATATATATATAATATTCTATTTGCTTTGCACCTTGTAGTAAAGAGGTTTCTTAAAAGAAATGCATGCTCTTAATACTGAATTTGTCTTGGAGAGGCCTTCATTAAAAAAATCTTTGTTGCAGTTGTGCAGTAGTCATGGCAGTGGCATACATATAGGTAGTCTAAGATTTAACTTTAAAGCTCTTAGTAAATACTGCAGTTTCTGAGAGGTCTAGAGCTTCTTCAGTTGTGCAATTAACAGTTTTGTATGCTGGAACTCAAAGATACCTCTGATTTGATGTATGGTGCAAATACTCATCTGGACAAGGTTCCTCTGTTAGTTCACTGGCAGGATTTGAGCTTTGCAGGAATGAGAGCTGTTGCAGGGACTGTAGCAGTAGTGTCCATAGGGAATGGCTACTATGGAAATCTTTTACTGCTCAGCTACTTCTGTATTATGCTGTAGAATTCAGCCTTTGCCAGAGAGAGGAGTTATGTAGCTCTGCAGTTTCCAAGCAATTGACTTCAGCAGGAATCTCTGTGGTGGTTCTAATGCTTCTGTAGTGAAAAAAGTATAATGCTTTCTTGAATTCCTTGTAGCTTTTGCAATACCTTTGAGTACTTTTGCAGTAAGCCAGTGTTAGATTTGCAAAAAAAAGTCCTAATCACCTCCCAGGTCTTTGAGGATTCTTCTGGAATCAAACAACTAAATTTTAAGTGTTATATCTAATAAGTACCTTTAAAATTCCCATATCAGATATTTATTGACAAGTTTTAGGTCTTGGAAGGGATGAAATTTATATTTACATGAAGCTACCATCCATACATGGCTAGTCTGCTTCTGTCTTTTCCTTGTCTCCTTGACTGTGCACTGTTTATGTGGAGCTGTTTTATTTTCAGGCAATGAATGCTGTTATCAAAACTTGGCGAGATGGGCCATATATCTTTATTGTGCAAATTGCACTTACAAATGCAAAGGATTCTACTGCCAGACTGAAAAGAACTGAGAGAACAACACCTTCCTCATATCAGAACAAGCTGTTTACAAGTAAGATAGCTCTTTATACAGTAAACTGAAAATACAGCATTATTTTATGCATTCCCAGTCAAAGTGTTCTAAGGTACTCTTAGCATATACTATATGGTTCAATTTCATACCACTCTTTCACTTCACATTGGTACAGCTCGTTTAAGAAAAGAGGTTATTCCTTCTGTCTTGAAGATCCTAAGATTGTTCTGCAAGTTTACTGATAGAAATCAAGAAGCTTCAATCCCAAGCATTTCAATTTTGAGGCTTTGTGTATTGTTTCAGAAATGTGCAGACCAATACAGTGATCGATACTAATAAGTCAAAACTTAGAGTACAAAGATCATAATTATCACCTTGATCTTATATTATATTTAACAGTGCATTGATAACCTTTTCAAACTTTACAGTATAAAAATCCCCTTAAAAAGTGAACTTACATGTGTTTCTGAATTCTTCCTGTTACACATTTATCTCCAGCAAAAATTACTTTTAAGTACTGGCATGAGTTACTTAGTAATGGGGTGTGTAATTTTAAACTGCATGCTTTTGGCTGAGTATGTTATGAGTCTTAGCTTTCTTTATTAAAGTGCAAGTTAGATTTAAAGAATATGTGGAATTTCTTTACACTTAAGTGAAAGTCAGTTAAGTCCTGGCTCCTCTTTTTGGTTCTTGTTCTATTTCGTAATTTTGGATTGTCTTCTGACAGTGACAGTAGAACTGAAGGGGCCGTATGAGTATCTTTCACTTGCAGACTACCCTCTGATGATTGTAAGTAAGCCAGCTTTTTCTTGATCTATAAAATTGTCAGTTGCTTTGAATGTCAACTAAATACTCTGCTGTCATACTTCAGGAAATACAGAGCCTGTGTCTCGAGCAAAAGTTACTTACCCAAGGATATTTTTTGGTTTGATGCGCTGTTTTTGTTTGGTTGGGGTGTTTGGGTGTTTTTTGTTTTTTTTTTTTTTTTTTTTTTTTTTTTTTATTATTAAAGCTGTTTTTGTTTGGTTGGGATGTTTTGGTGGTTTTTTTTTTTTTTTTTTTTTTTTTTTTTTTTTTTGTATACTGAGTACCCGGTAGGGAAAACAGACACAGATTTCAGTTCCTTGCATGTGCTGCCAATGTTGTCCTTCTCTGAACTGTTTGAATTAATGGTTGTTAATTTGTAGTTCCTGAAGTTATCAGTATTATTAGCTCTAAACTGACAAGTTTTACTTGTGCTGTTTTTCTCCTTAGCTCTTGTCTTAGAAAATCTGCTATTCTGTGCTTTTGTTTGCAGCTACCCTTTCATTTGTCACTGCTTTCTTTGTTCTTTTATAGCTTAATCTCGCTTCCTCCACCAGCTGTCTTACACCCCATGAGGAGGTCTTTAATACTGCCTAGCAGTGAAAGCATAATTGAGCTACAAAGAGCTAATCCCCTTTTTATTCAAAGGAGTTATTGACTTGGTTTCTAATTTCTTCTGTTGAGAAGGCTAAACAATAAAGGAACTTAAAATGTTATGTAGTGAAGAGAGACTTTAGCTGGGGATCAATAACAAGGTCTCTAGCTTGACTCTCTTGGCAAGAGCAGCCTGTCAATAGTGGAGCCTGGCAGCATTTCTGAAACACACATTTTACTTCCTGGAGGAGCAAAAAGCCTTCAGCAGCTCTATTGAAATGTAATTAATGAGTGAAAATATCCCATGTGACAGGACCAGAAAAGAATTTGTATCTCTAAATGTTTTCTCAATGGAGCATCTACATGTGAGCTGTCTTGCCTAGGTTCTTAGCATTTGAACTGCATGGGTTGGTCAGGTGTGAAAATGTGTAAGGATCATTAAGCTACTCTCTTAAGGAAGGTGTTTTCAGTTTTTGAAAGTTTTGATGGATTGTGCAGCTAAGAAATTAAGTCTTTGATTGTTTTGTTTTTTTTCAAAAAGTCTTTCTTCTGAAAGAGGACGCTGCTTGATTATTAAGCACTGTCCTATGTTTTGCCTAACTACTTCCTGCTATTCACTTAATGTCTTACTCTCTTCTAATTCCTCTTCTTAATCTTCATGTCCTTTTGAAAATTCTACCTTGCTTTGGTATGATTGGAAAATTCAGCATTGGGTAACATTGTCAAGCTTATTGTTTGCTATATGAGACATACCATGAAAAGTTCTTCTGAAGCAAGTAACACTGAACAAAACAAAAATCACAAAATGTTAACATTTAAATGGATATCTGGATTTCTTTGTCAGCTGCAGGTTTTTTGCTGGCCTAAAACTTGGTCAAAAGATGAGTTTGCTGGAAATTAACTTCTGAGAAAAGCTGTCAAATTATTTGAACACAGAGCACAGAATGATTAGTTGCTTATCTCTGTTGTGTGGAATGGTGTCTAAAGATGGTCTGTGAGTTTATTTGCAGAGTACTGTAAATGTATGATGAGGTTTTTAGAACAATACATGAGAACGAATAGAGTTTCTAGTACTTGATGATTTGCTTGAATTCTTACCTTTTTGGAATCTAGTAACATGTATCTTCCTTAGAAAAAAATGCCTGTGAATAAATTGGCAGATCATTCTTCAAAGGAGAAATTGCACAGAAATTCAGTTACTCTCATTCCCTTTGTCAGTAGTGAGTAATTAGACTCTCACTGTTAAAGAATCCAGATAAGACAAATGAAACAATGCTTGTCTATTTAAAAACTTCCAAAATTGCTATAGAAAATAGAGTTGTCTTACAGGAATGGAAACAAGGAAATTATATTTCTGGGTCTGAAGTTCCTATGTCTTTGTTCTTTTTGTGCAATAGTTTTTCATGGTGATGTGTATTGTGTACGTATTCTTCGGGGTTCTGTGGCTTGCGTGGTCAGCCTGTTACTGGCGGGATCTGCTGAGGATCCAGTTCTGGATTGGGGCTGTTATTTTCCTGGGAATGCTTGAGAAGGCCGTTTTCTACGCCGAGTTCCAGAACATCCGCTACACGGGCGAATCCGGTAGGTGGCAGCTGCCTTGTGCAGGATAATTGAGGGGGCATAGCACTAATGACTTATGCTAAATTGGGGTGGCAAATACTTATTGACTGTATGATTACTTGAGGATTGTTTCAAAGCAAAGAGCAGGGAACTAGAGTTTCTGTATTTTTATATGTTGTAAACATCGTGCTCTGTGTTCTTCTAAAACTAAAATGCTGTTGCTTTCTCTGACTCTTGAAAGTAGTGTCTAAGGTGTATAGAATGCTACATTCTGTGCTGCAGTGCTGGTTTTAAGTTTAAAATAGTGCTTGCTCAGTGTAGCTTGTAATTTATTTCTCCCAGTTCATAATGGAAAAGATACTCTGAAACTCCTTGTTCAACATGACAGCATTGTAGATTACTCTCAGTATTCAACCTATAGTCTCATAATCCATCTTAAGAGATTCCCTTTACGTAAAACTCTCTTACTCTGGTTTTGACTTTTCAGGCTGAATGCATACAAATGAAGCTCTGCAAGTAAAATGTCATTATGACTTTGCTAATTGGCCATACCCATGGTGCAAAAAGTTTTGTTGGTTGAGTTATTTGGGAGAGTATCCAGGTTGGATGTAAAATTTTTCTGTAACTTCTTTTCAATGCCAAGTGACCAGTCTTTTCTGAAAGCTAACTCCAGATGTAGATAATAAAAAGATAAGGCACTTCAATAGCCTACTTTTATGTCTGCTCTCATACTATAATTGCATGCAGTAGTTAATAAAATATTTTTATTTTATTTTATTTTTAAAGAAATTACATTTTAATGACCTAAATTCCTCCTCTTTGCTTTTGGTAGTTCAAGGAGCAGTAATACTGGCAGAACTTCTTTCTGCTGTCAAGCGCTCGTTGGCTCGGACTCTGGTCATCATAGTCAGCCTGGGATATGGGATAGTCAAGTGAGTAATTCTGTTACAGGCTTTTTGCCTTCTATTTGAAGGGTTTTCGCTTTTTTTTAAAGGGGTTTTAAGAATTTAGGGCAGTATTCATCTCCCTGTACTTTGGTTGTTTAAAGGCACGTGCTTTAGTTAAGTGGTCTGAAGATCTTGACGTGTTCTCTAGTAAACAGAGACAGTTCCATACTGTGAATACTCTTCTTTCCATCTGCTTCTGTGTGCTACTCTGGGGTGGGTTTCTGAGTCATTGTTGAGATGCTCCACTAACTGGAATGGGAAATTGATGGGCCTGCCTTCTGAGTGAGGGGAAGCTTATATAAATGGGGTAGATCAAGAATCACTGATAGGGGAGGGGATCTGCTTCAGTAAGATTGTGGCTTATTTGTCCACAGCTGTATTCAATGGTATTAACACAGTGGGAATTTTTGGCAAGTGTGGGTTTGCTGGGGGAGCTGGTGAAGAAGTGGGATGAGACTGAGTGAAATGGTCATGAAAAGCTAAACAGGTTAACTAAGAAACAGGGCTGTTGCCTGTTTCTCCCGTAGTCACATCATACCCAGGACAAAATGAATAGTAAGTTTCAAGCACCATAATAATATTTCTGGATCTAGATGTGGCTTGTTAAAAGGACCTTTTATTCATATGCTTCATAGTTTATGTTTAGATTCAAGTTGACATGACTTTACTTTTTGGTTCCACTTAATCTGAATTTCACCTTGTTTCCTACAGACCTCGCCTTGGAGTGACTCTTCACAAAGTAGTTATGGCTGGAGCCCTTTATCTGTTATTTTCTGGCATGGAAGGTGTTCTTAGAGTCACAGGGGTCAGTAATAACTGCTTGAATTTTCCCATGTGCCACAGACGTATTGGCTGTATGTACTGGTGTGAGCAGCTACCTTCCCTCCCCCTGCCCAACCACAACCAAACCAAATTCCCACTGCTCCAGTTTTGGGGGCTGTGCCTGGGGAAGTGTGTGTGAGTGGTGATGCTACTGGATTCGTTAAGTGCATCTGGGGATGTAGAATTCTGTTATTCTGTTTTTGGCATAAGGTATTTAACCTGTTGTATATTTGATACTTTTCCAGTTTTTCTATGACACTCTGGCTCTGATAGCAAACTTGGCCCTGTCCATGATTGATGCCTGTATTATTTTGTGGATATCCTTTTAAAAGCTGCAGAATGTATGACCTTGTTCATAGCTTATTATTTCTGTCTTGTAGTTGAAAGGAATACAAGATGTTTTGCTTGTTTCTGTTTGGACTTTGATAAGTTTATGATGTACATGCAAAGGCAAGTTTTGCCTTTTTAGTCAAACTCATGGTTGTCAGTGGAGCTTTCAGTTCATCCATGGATAGTGTAAAAGATGTAATTATTACATCTGTGACAAGCTGGTTGCTAGTTTTCTGTAATGGAAATGGCCAGAGCAATTACTCACAGCAATTGCCTCAGCAACAGTGCTAGATTGACTTAATCTGGAAAACTGCTTCTTGCCTTGCTGGTGGATGACTGACAATGTGGTATTGCCAGTTCCTCTCTGTACATTGGACTAAACTCTTGGTTCAAGCCCTCTCTTTCTGTAGCAAAACTTGGAAGTGTTGTGGTGGCATATTGGTGGTTTCTGATAAAACAGCCTGACCCTTCTTACTTCTCTACTTGGTTTTCTTTTCAGTTTGTTCTTATTGGCTCTCTCTTTGTCTCCAGGCCCAGAATGATCTTGCCTCCTTGGCTTTTATTCCCCTGGCTTTCCTAGATACTGCCCTGTGCTGGTGGATATCCTTCACTGTTTTACTTGATGGGTTGTGTTTTCTTTTGAATCTGTTTTTTTGAGTCTTTTCTTGGCTGAACTTTTTTTAAAAATAAGATCCAAGTGTGTATTTTTTTGTACTTCTGGTAGAGGTTATAGAAGTTCTGTAATTGAGTATTCAGGTAGGCCTTTACTGCCTACTGCTTACCCAGTTTTTGCTGAACTGGATGTGCCTGTGTAAAGCTGCTCCAAAATACAATCTGTCTGTTATCAGTCTCTCATTGTTGAGTGTGAAAGTATTTTGTTCTAATGTAGCATGTCGTGGCACCTTGGTAGCCTTTGAAGACATTAATCAGTTTATGTTTTGGGGAGAAGGTTATTTAGCAACATCAAACCTAAAAGTCTCTGTAAAATTTGAACTAGTCTTGGAGTAAGTGACAAAATGAGGCAGCGTTTATTTTTTTAGTGTCTTGACATATTCATTTTAAGCAATCAAAATCTTGTGTGACTTTAGCAACTAATATCAAATGCTGAACTTGTGTATGGCAAAATCCCTCTGAAGTGTTCTTAGCTAAAGTCAATCACAAAAACTGTTTAAAATGTGAATAGCTGGCTGTCCAGCTGTGGCAACCCCAGTTCTCCCCTGTCATGATGTCTCTCCTAACCACTTGTTTTGTTACTGTGGAAATAAAAGAAAATGTGAAGGCACCCATATGCATTAAATAGATTTAAACTAATATCTAGTTTAGATTTTCCTTTTCATTTATCAAAAGCACAGCCAACTCTTTCCTGAGGGAAAAGGCCATAGGCCAAAATAGAGGTTTGGATACCATCTTTGTGTAACAAGACTTATAGATGACTAAATAACATGAAAAAGACAGATTTTGCTCTCTGGTACCTTTGTCATAGGATGAATCTTCTACTGAGAATGATCAAAGTTTTTGGAGGGTTAAGTGTGTGATTGAGAGAGTTGTTGATCATAAGGTCTGTGTCCTCCTAAGTTTGTGACTAGCTTGTCCCTTCAGGGACTTTTCCTTGACTTTCCATACATATTCATCAGTTTAACTCAAACAATGAAGCTGCTAAAACTTCGAAGGAATGTTGTGAAACTCTCTTTGTATCGGCACTTCACCAACACACTCATCTTGGCAGTAGCAGGTAAGCAGAAAATTTTTCCAGTTAAGTAAAACCACTTTTCATTTTTATATAGGGCTTGATTTGCAAATTTTAAGTTTAGTGATGTTTCTGTAAGTGCAGCCAAAATTCTTGGTATTTATAACACTTGACCCATTTCTAAAAGTGAGTCTTTGCCAAGAGACAGTGGATTATTAGTCCTGATATTAACAAGATCAGTAGTTCAGTGCAGCTCCTCTAACAGAGCACTTTTGTGCCACTTCAAGCTGCCAGGGGCAATAGTTTATTATTATCTTATGCTGTTAACTTCATAGAGATACTTTTTGCCAAAATGACGGTATCACTGTGTGCTGTGGGGTTTTTAAGATGTCTGAAGATCAGAGTGATTCTTAGTTTTGTAACATAATGCCCTCTCTGTTCTGGAAGAATACAAATTGGGTTTCTTTTTCCATTTATATGCGATGAACTGAATTTCAAGAATAAATTTGTCCGTGCTTCCAGGTTCTCTGCTATCAATACAATGAGCAGAAAACTTTAAAGGCAGTGCTTTTTTATTTAAACAAAAAAGTACATTCCTTTTGAAAATTGGCTGTAATGAAATTCCTTTCAACACCTGGTTCTTGGTTATCTTAAAATACTTCAGTGGAGGGAAGTCTCTTCTAAAACTGTACTAAGAATATCATGTGAGTGTTGGAACTGTTGTGGATCAGGATCTGGATGCTTAAGGCATTCAAGCAGATCAGATTGTTCAGTTACTTCAGGGTCAGCTTTACTTGTCAAGTGATAATGAAACCATGGTTTGAAGGCTAGATAAAAGTGATACAAGAATAATGAATAGTAATTAAGAGTTGGCTAAATATTCCATATTTGATTTATGCCTTGTGTCTGTAAAGAAACATGAGTAAAATACACTGGTCTATGCCTAAACTCTGTCTGAGGTCAGTGCAATAGATCCGTCTCTTGTTTTCCAAAACAATTAAATTGAATTTCAAGACTTCAGTATTCAGGTCTTTGATCTTTCTCTGGGAAACACAGTCCTGTTAGTTGGGTATTTGAATTGACATATTTTTTTAGTAATAAGCAGCTTGTTTGTTTGAATATTGCAGCATCTATTGTATTCATCATCTGGACAACCATGAAGTTCAGGCTGGTGGACTGTCAGTCGGTGAGTTTATATGAAATGCTTTCTACAAGGCAGCTTTCTGCTGCCTCTTGATAAGTTTATATTTGGTAGGGAGATTGCCACAAAGCACCACAAGCTAAAATTATCACTGTTGTGGGTAATGAGCCTCTTTGACAAATGCCTATAGTTGAGCCTTGGCAAGAGATGAGGACATGAAATTTCTTGCTTCACAGCATCTTTTATTTGTGCTGGTTTTCTTGACAGGACTGGCAAGAGCTATGGGTGGATGATGCCATCTGGCGTTTATTATTTTCAATGATCCTTTTTGTCATCATGATTCTGTGGAGACCATCTGCTAACAACCAAAGGTTCAGCTTTTCTTACCTCTCTAAAAATGCTGGGTTGTAGGTATGCTTGTTTATTCAAAGAGTACTGGTGGGTGATTTTCAGTTGCTGTACACTGATCAGTAAGGATACTAAGCAGTGTTTGTAGGGAAAGGTAAACCTAGAGAAGTTACATACATAAAATCCAGTCTGTTCCTGGTGCTTAGCTCATTTAAAAAGAAGTAACTTCAATGTTGTTTTAAAGACTGATATTAAACATAATCAATGAGATTCACAGAATAATCCAGCCATGTATGTGTTGGGGTAATGGATCTCTTGGGAGACAGAATACTAAGACAGTAGCTTTCATTCTTTCACTTTCACTATTCTTTCACATAGGTTTGCTTTCTCACCACTGTCAGAAGAGGAGGATGATGATGAACAGAAAGAGCCAATGTTAAAAGAAAGCTTTGGTAAGAGAAATTTCCACTCAATTTCAGTGTTGAAGGCAGTTCTTTGGAGAAGCATGTCTTGCTCTCTGGCGAAAACTAGCATTGATACACAGAGTTCTAGAGGAAGCACTGGCTTTATATTTAGTATTTACATTGCCTGTTTAATTCTGGGGTTTTCTGTTGATACTGAAAACACTGTTTCTGCTGTGGTTGCTTTACCATGTCCAGTGGACTTTGTTTAATTAAATATTTCACATCTTAGGATTCAATCTAGTCGTGATGACAATGATCCCTTGGATATTGTTGCTAGGCAGTGGTTTAGTGTGCAGTTCTCTTTTAAAGTCCCATGTAAGAATTTTCATTTATTATCTGTTCTCTCAACTCTGAAATCTTCTTTATTTTCTACATTAGGGCTTAGCATGGGAATGTCCAGTGTAAATGTAGGAGTGAATATGTTTATTCATGAAATAGTCTGTTGTAAGCTATATCTATAAGCTGTGTAGAAGGTAGGGCTACATACCTACTGCTGTCTGTCCACGATTCAGCCATGCTGGGATATATCAGTGCTGTTTGGCTTGTTTAGGAGCTGAGGAGAAATATGTAATCCATTTGGTGCATTTGGCAAACCAGCACTGTCTGGCTTCCTGCCAGGCCACATTACTTCTCAGGTTTTAAGGCAACGAGGTGGCTGGTGAGCAGTCAGTAGGTAAAATAAAATTCAGGAGTTGCCTGTGTCTCAGAATGTTTGAGGCTGGAAGGGACCTGGAGGTCATTCTGTCCAAGCCCCTGCTCAAGCAGGGTCACCCAGCGCACATTGCCCTGGACTGTGTCCAGATGGCTTTTGGGTATCTTCTAGGATGAAATTCCACAGTCTCTCTGGGAACTATGTCTGGGTTCTGTGTTGCTGATGTCTGGCTTAAATAAAAGGAATTGGAATTTATATTTCCTAGGTAAAATTGTAAAATTCGGGAAAAACTACATACTCCACCTGTCAGGAAGGAATACTGCAAGCCTTTCAGAGGGGAAGCAGTCTAAATCATTAGTTTGTCTAACTCTGTCTCTTCTGCTTGAGTGAAAAATCCTGAATGAACACTTGACCCTTTCATGTACAGTCTGTGAACAATTATACTTCATTTACCCCAATACTTTTTCTTTTCCTGGCTTCAGAGGGAATGAAAATGAGAAGTACAAAGCAAGAACCAAATGGGAATGTAAAAGCAAACAAAGTTGTGAGTATGACCTCTGTACTTCGAAGAATATAAGATTCATCTCTTCTTTGTTTACTTTTTGGTTTGCCTTGGAGTGTGAGTGAGCCAAAGTATCATAAGTTAACACAGTACTACTGAAAAGAAAGGAAATACAGGTTTCTCATGAGATTTCCTGTAAATACAATGGGAACTTTAGAAGTCTGTTCTTCAGAAAAGTTTCCACAATTCAGTGTAGATAGAACTGTATAATACAATATTCTGATAGTGATTAATATATTTTTTTAACAAATTTGTCAGTCTGAGAGGGAGGCTGAGCCATATTTTAAATAAATTGCCCTCTGGTTTTGAGATTTGTGATTCATTATGTCATTGGGGTGATGTGCATATTTTTTTGTACCTACCTAAATACTTTGGGGGAATATGCATTTTTTCTGTGTAGCTTATAAACAAGATGTTTTCACATCTATCTAGAAGGCCTGTGTCTTGGAATCTTTACATAGAATTAATGCATAAATTTAAAAGTTAAAAGTATCTGTAGGAATTCATTATAATAGCAATCATATTTTTGTCATTAGCATTGTTTTTCTCAATGATTGGTTGCAGCTGTATGCTACTTACCTGAGGATAGATAAGATGAAAATCAAACTTTTGTGTTTTGCAAGGGGGTGGTAATATGGTCTGTTACAGAGCTCACAGCAAGTGGGTGGGTTTTTCTTTACTTTTTTTTCCTTGAAATGTGTTTTCTCTAATCCAGAAATCAAACTGAATTAGTTTTTTTTGTGTGTGTTTGTATTTATTTTTTTAACTGACATTATAAATACTTTTTTTTTCCCAAGTATGTTCAGAAGAAAAAGGCTTGCATATCACAGCATTGTGGAAAAACTGACTTTTGTTTTTTGTTTAATTTCTGTACTTGTAGCAAGAGGATGACCTGAAGTGGGTAGAGGAGAACGTTCCTTCATCAGTGACAGATGTGTGAGTATTTCTGTAGTCTCAATAAAGGCAAGTTCCTTTCCCACAGGAGTACATTAGAATGCCTTATCACTTGTGTGCTGCACTTCCATGGGCAGAGGTTGGGTTCAGCCTGGCACTGTCCTCTGACCCTTTGTATGGACTCTGCTGGGGTTGCACACAGGCTGACTTAAGGAACTGTCTCTTGGAATGTGAAACCACAGACTGGTCTGCATTTTACTGAAGTTAAAACAATATACATAAATCCAGAAAACAAAGAGCAAGCAAATCCCTTTCTAGTGCTCTGAGAAGACTTTTGAATATCTTGCTGAATGTAAACCATGGAATAATGTAATCCAGTTTTCAGCATTATGTGGAACATGTGATGTCATTTTTGTGCTTGTGGTAATATAATCAGCTATATAATCACTGTATCTCTTCTGTTTTTAATAACTTCTACATGCTAGAAGTGTCAGTGCCTATGTCTACATTTTTCATAACAAAAGTGAAGTTAATAGATCAGTGTATTCACAAATTTGAACAGGTGATTTTGGCCGAAGATCTGGATTGAAGTATGAAACTTAGCTTGAACTTAAGTAAAGAAAAGAAATTAGGTGAAGTTTTAAGAGGAAGAAAAGTGCATTTTTCTCAATTGAGTTTGGTTTTCCCAGTTCTAGTACTTATTTTTTAAAGACTGATAGGATTCCTTCAGAAAAAAAAGACTAGACTGGTATAAACTAGGAGAGGGCACCTTGAGGTAATCTGTTGAATGTTTTTGTGTTTCTGAGCGTGTCATCATGGTTGTGAAGAGCCAAGATCCCAATAAATGGGAGATCTGTTGTAGCTGGGAAGGCTGAAGTACCAGTGGAACTTGTTTGACTTCTGGGACATGTTTTTATAACATGGTCCCATATTGTAAATGTCTTCAGTGCAGTTCAACTGTGTTCCTGTATGAGTGAAGCAGCTTATTTCATGGCAACTTGAAAATTGTTCATTTGGTAATGAGAAGCATAATAAGAAAGAATAAAAACTGTGAAGGTCATTGAGGATAATCCTTGGGCTCTTCATTTTTTGTGTCTTTCTTTAGTTTCTTCTAAATTGAAAGGTCTGTCTTCATTGTTTCTTTTCTGTGCCCTGAAAACATAAGGTTGAAAATGGTTGTCAGTATGCTCTTGGTATGTGCTCTATTTATTTTAACTTCTTTTTCCCTCCCACTGCAGGGCTCTTCCAGCTCTTCTGGATTCAGATGAGGTCAGTAAAGAAATCTTCAGTTCAAATTAGTCTTCTGACATACCAGGGGAGTCATGAGTCAGTTGATAAGGTCTTGGCTTATCAGAACTGGACTCTGCTCATGTCAACACAAGAGTAAAATGCTACAAGAGGGGAAGGATAGTGGGAACAACCTCAATACAACTTCTTAAAGTACAAATGTGATCTAAAATAAGTGGTGTATCTGCTATGTAAGTTGGACTCCTGACTTAAAACGTGTATGAGTGTTGTTTGCTGTGAATGTGCATGTTCTGAATTATGTAAATCTACAAGATTGGGTATTTTATTTTCTAGGAAAGAATGATTACCCACTTCGAAAGGTCCAAAATGGAATGAAGGAGTAGCTTTTTGCTCTTGGAAGTGGAGACACCTCTTTTAAAGTTGCTTGGTGGAGCAAGTGCACCCTGCTGATTTGTCTCTTGATCTCAGCCTTGAAAGTTTGATGCTTTAATGTCATGGAGGGTGTCTTGCTGTGGAAGAAGTTCACAAGGACATTATAAACCTTTTGGAAATTTGAATTTAAAGTTGCTGCAAGTTTGGATTTTTAAGCAATTGACATGTGTACTATTCCAGCACCTTCTGTAACTTTTCAAATATTTAATCTGTGAAACTAAAATTCCTAATGTCTGCTTGAGGAGTTTATATTTCGATGTTACAATTGACACTTAGAGGTGAACTGCCTGTACCTTTTTGGGGGGAGGGTGGGGACAGATAGAAAAAAGCACTGAAGAAACAGACCCATTTTTCTGGTAGATAACAGCTGCTGTTGTGTGTCATGTGTTCAACATGCATGAAAGAGTTTTAGAGAGAAGCTCCTGTTGATGAAGAAAATGAAGATGGCAGAAAGGAAATATTTGGAAAAGTTACAGTGATATGAGTTTTTAACAAAATCAAGTGCAATTTTATTCATAACACTGTGTATGAAAGATTTTCTATTTTAAATGCCATTGACCTGTAGGTAGCAGCTGCCTAGAGCTAACACTCACTGTTGTGGCACATCTCATTGCCGGCAATGTGGTGGATGCCTGGAAAAAGGATTTGCCCCTACCTTCCATATGTTGCATGATTTCATTTAAAAAAATACCCCAACAAATAAAACAACAGAAGCAAACATCACCAGAACCACTCCTGCAGTGCTCCACAAGTGCTTGACTACATGTTAAGCAGATACTAACTGAATGTTTCAGCAGAAATCTTCTCCCTTTATGTGTAACATCTCCCACCAAGAAGTTGGCACTCCTCTATGAGAAGATGGCATTGCTTTCTAGGGTGTGAGCACTGCCTGCCTTACTTGAAAGAGGATTTATGGGGAGTCCACAGCACGGGGATAGTTCTGTTCCCAGTGTCTGTTTAGAATTGCTTCCTATGTAAGTGATTTGATGCTGGGCTTTCCTGTCCCAACTGGTCCTTGTGGCCAAGAGGTACTCTGAGATCACTGTGTTTCAGTCAGAGTTGCAGGTTTCTGTTCTATATAATTGCATTTTGTTTCTCCTTTTAAAATGAAGAAGAGCTTTTGGACAATGTTCCGGTTTTTGCTTGGCTGCAACAGCTGAAGTTGCAATAAGTTCCTCATGGAAACCTGTCATGGACTGCATGACAAAAGCTCTAATTTGGGTTCATAACCTTTAAAACTGATCATTGGGAGGCAAGCAGCAGCTGGATATCTAGGAAGCAGATGTGGCTGCTGCTGGAACGGTGTAGAGCATCAGCTTTTCTGGTTCTTCTCCTAGCTATGTCAGCAGAAGTGAACATGTGCCTGTACTTCATTCTTTCCACTGTAAGGTCTGGTAGCTTAGCTGTAGCTCCTCTTTCTCAGCAATTCAAGCTGAACATGGCACTTTACAGTACAGTAGCTGAGGCACAAGGACATAGCATCTTCTGCTAGCTGTGTTGTGAGAAGGGCAGAGATAAAAGGTGTGGCTGTAGCACCTCACTGCTTCTGCAAGAATTGCTGGAGCTCTTCTGCCATCCTCTTCAGGTTGCAGATAGAATCTTTAATTAGAAAACACTTCTAATTTGCTATGCTTAATTGATATAGATGAAAAAAATATTACCTCCGTGTCCTTTTGGGGAGAGGAAATTTTTGTGAAATAAAGCTACACAAAGCTTGCTATTTAATTTTTTTGTTTTGTTTTGTTTTCATTTTTAAAGAAATCCTATTGGTTTGGGTTGTTTGGGTTTTTTGAAACAAATAGGTAAAAATGTTCTCTACTGGAAGCACAAAAGTTTGTATGTACTATTTAATAAAGGCTAGGCAAAGAGTAGAAAGGCTCACATTGTGTCCTTCCAGTTTCTTTACTCCCTCTACTCTCACATGAAGTGTTAACACTTTCACAAAGCTGCCTGACTTTAGCTCTAGTCCATGGTATATATAATGCAGTTATTCCCAACAGTTCTTTTTAAGATTGAAAATGAAGTCTGTCATTTGAAAAGCTAATGGAGATAGAGCAAATAATTAATTTCTGAAAAAAAAGTAAAAGAACCAACCAGTTTCTCTAATTGTATCAATAGTTCAATTGTTAATTTAAAAGCTAAAATAAACCTAGTAGCAGCGTGGTGCTTTCAGCCTCTGACTACAGGGCTCCTTGCAGCCTTCTACTCTTCCATTCTTTTACTCACTTCCAGCAGTATTTAAACTTGTCCTGAATTCCACAGGGAGCTTGTTGACCCCTTAGCACTTTTGGGTTTTTCACTTGTTTAGCAGAGTTTCTTTATTCTTGGAAAGTAGCATCTACTTCCTTCCTCACCTAGAGCAGGCGTGTGCTGGGACTTGACTGCAGTCTTTGGGAGCAGCTGTGAGAGCGCAGCTCCGCAGCGTTGTGTGGGCCAGGGCACTGTCATTGCAGGAGGGATGGCTGTGCGTGAGGAGCCAGGGGTGTGTTTGCAGGCTGCAGCAACGTGGCCTCTCCCTCAGTAGCATGTTTGGTCAGGTGTGTTGGTTGTCCTTGGAGATATTTGCCTCTTCTGGAACCTAATCTTCTCCTAAAGATGTGTTGGCTCCCTAACTTGGGAAAACTTGGGAAAGCTTCAGTGAGCTAGCTTGCTGGAATGCTTGAAACCATAAATCCTGCAGGTTGTTTGCTTTAATTATGTACTCAGGGAAGACAATTCAAATTTATACTCCTTTTTTCAAAAACAAACCATGCAAACTGTTCTGAAGACTTAGTGAGCTGGAGAGGGTCTTAGGTCTGAGGTCTGTAAGAGTTCTTCAAGAAGCTGTTTGTAATAAAAAAAAGTAAGTGTCTGACAGGAGTATTCTAGTGTTCTTGTTCCTGATTAGTACTGCATGGATTTGTTTGTTTATGTGTAAGAAGTAGCTGTTGGAATTGTAGCATATATTTGTGGCATATACCATACAGAAAACTGGAAACACAGTGAAGAAAATTATGTTGACCAGCTTTTCGTTAGGGTGACAAGATGTCCCTGTTAGGAACTCCAAAGGAGGGACTGAGTAAGAGATCACATGCCCTGGTAAAGAAATGCAAGAGGCTTGATAGGCACAGACTGAGTCAGGATCATAAGACCTTGGGAAGGTTATGTTTATCTTATTCTGCAGATGTAGGGGTGTGTGAGTTTGTGGGCTTTATTTATCCTCGTGTTTGTTTTATATGGCATTTTATGTTGTATGCTACGTTATAAAGACTGAAGAAGGTAATGCTCCACAAATCATTTGCTCTCTGGACTCCAAAATGTGAAGTCATTGTTACCCAGTGTTACTGAAACATTTCCTTTCACTAATCGGTGCCGTGTCCCTTTTCCTTTTGTAGGGATCCTTGATTAAAAAAAGACTATGCTATGGCTCAAGCTATATGCCTGAGCCATAACACCTTTGGAGATTTGCAGTTTTGCTGTCTGTGAGGAGGAATCTGACTCAGCACAGTTTTGTGCTTTAGCACAAACAAAATGTTCATTCCTGAGCAGGAAAGAAATTGGATGCAAGAATGCTGTGCTTGTTTTCCCTTTCCTGTGCTTTGATCTTCCAGCACAGAGCATCCTCAGTCCCTGTTTTCTAAAAGTGGTCTCTGTTGGTAAAGATGCTTGGAGAATCTAGTACCACCTTCTTTTTGAGTTTGGTTTAGTTTCTAGGCCAGTGATTGTGAACGTTGCACCTCTCCAAGACAAATGTAAATGAAACCGTGGCCAGTTCTGCAAGGGGCAAACTAACAAGAAAGATTTCCTCCTGGAGACTGAAATTCACTGGCCAAGTTCATAGGATAAGTTCATAAAAGCAAAGCTTATGACCTCGAAAAATAGATATGTGCTTGTAAGATACGCCTCGTTGTTCTCATCTGGTTATGCAGATCAATTTTTGCAGTCGCATCCCGGCTGACTTTCCTATTTTCTATGGTTTATGGTAGCCAACAGCAACCGGACACCCTCCCACATTTTGGGAAGACGAATGTTTCCTACAGCCTGTCCCCTTTTCGGGCTGTATGAAGATGCCCAAGGGCTATGTCAGGGTCCCCTCGGTGCCGTGCCGACCCGCGTTTCCCGTTCGCGCCCGAGCCCCCGGGGCTGTTTGGTGCCGGCGCGGAGCCCCGTTTTTAGGGTTGGGACAGGGCGCCCTTCCTGGTGGAACGCCCCCGGACAGTGCCAGCACCCGTGAGGAGTCCGCGGGGTGCCGGAGGGACAATCGGGGCGAACCGAGCGCGGCGAGGCGAGCCGGCCGGTGCCGGGACAGGGGCGGTGCCGGGACAGGAGGGGCGGTGGCGCGGGAGCGCTTCCGTCGGGGCCGTGCCCGCCGGTGCCGCCTGTGCCTGGGCCGGGCGGCAGCCGGGGCCGGAGGAGCCGCCGCCATGCACGACGCCTTCGAGCATGTGCCCATCCTGGAGAAGCTGCCGCTGCAGATCGACTGCCTGGCGGCCTGGGGTGAGCCGGAGGGGCCGCGCCGCTGCCTGAGCCGCGCTGCTTCGCTCCGCTCCTCTCCTCCGGCCGGGGCAGCGTTCGCATGGCTGCCCTGCCCTGCCCTGCCCTGCGGCGGGCTGGCGGTGGCAGCGCCTCCCGCTCCGGCCGGCAGCAGCCTGAGTGGCCGCGGCCCTGCCGGCCCCGGGCCGGGCCGCCGGAGCCTCTCCTGGGTCCCCGAGCCTCTCCTGGGTCCCGGCGGTGCCGAGCGCCGCTCCCTGCCCTGCCCTGCCCTGCCCTGCCCTGCCCGGCCGCCCGCAGCCCGGCTCTGGAGAGGCTGCCGGGGCTGTAACCCTAGGCTGCCTACTTTATTGCTAGAAAAACATTCCTTGTGTTGTGACTTAAACTTGATTTGGAAGGCCAGTGCTGTGTTGAAGCCTTAGATTTCGGATAGGTTTGCACGTGTTAGTGGTACAAAATTGTGGGATTTATTTTTGGGCATACTTGAGAGTCAAGATTTTGGTCAGGTGACTGCACCAGCTGTCCTGGTGATTAAGCTTGATAAAGCTTTTCAGAGCTGTGAGCAGGTGCCATCAGATGTACTGCCATCATGCAAAATCAGCAATTTAAAAAGCTCAAAGCCCTATGAAATTGTGACCCCGATTAATTGTATTAAGAATTATATCCTGAATGATAATATTCCTGTTATACGTGGATTGTTTATGATGGAGTTATGTACTGGAGAGGATGTGAAGGTGGTTTATTCCTGCATTACAGCTTTTATCTTTTTTGCTCTTTGAAAGTGTTTATTTTGCTGAACTAGGAAAAAAAGCCTAAACATACAGACTTATAGCAGTATGGTTTTGTAAAAAAGATGTGTAGCTCTGTCTCTAGAATGTTTCTGCCAAGTAGTAGAAGAAAGGTCTTGCAGGAAATAAGATTTTATTAAAATGCAAATTCCTTCGGTGAAGAGGAAGTACTAGATGTAGAAGGAAATATTCATGTGTGCTGCTTTCTTGTATGATATTCAGTGATGAAGAAATTCAGTCATATTTCATGAGCCTGTAAAGATTTTATGCTTTTTGTATGGTGTAAATACTGTAAAGAGGATGAGTCTGAAACTCTGCCTTAGAGTTTGTATATAAAGGCCCTCTTTTATAAATCTGAAATGATTCTTGGTTGTCCAACCAAAGCTAAGCTAAGCTTAGGTTGTCCAACCTAAGCAAAGCTGCCCCACTCTCCCTCCAAACATAACTGACTATTTCAGAGGGACGTTTTAAAAACCTGACTTAAAAAAACTTAATCAAACACACATAAACTCGTTGTTTTTCTTTCTGGCAGTACTTCCCGTTATGTAGCATAGTTCCCCTCTGAGAGATAATAATGTCTGAGGAATAGTTTATTGCCTCTTTTGATGGCACACAAGATGCAATGGTTTGCTTCTTTACTTCTGGCTGAGCTAGTGGAATGTGATGGCCAAGCTGTTTATGCTGTTTTACTGCCTGCTCTTTGGCTATCCTCTCCTGAGGGTAGGAGACCTGTGTAGTCACTGCAGAAAGTTCTTTTTGGTGTTTGAAGCAAGTTTCCAAGTGTTCTGAGAAATGTAACATAGCCCCATAATAGGCACTGTGAAGAAAATTAACTCTACCCCAGGAAAACCAGCACAGCTGTGAAGGGCAGTTTTTGTTGTACTAATTAGACTTGTTTTCTCCTGTCTTTGTAGAGGAATGGCTCCTTGTTGGTACAAAACAAGGGCATCTTCTGCTTTACAGGATCAAGAAAGATGCAGGTAAGTTGATTTTAAGAATGGCACAAAAAAGTTGTTATTTTTATTTCCTGAACTTTTAGAGCTGTAATCATTTTAACACAAATGTGATTAATTGCTATAGATGGGATTAATTTCCTATGTAGAGTTTCACATATGTGGATTTTATTTCAGGTTTCTCTGTGTTTAAATTTATAGTAAGTGACTGTAATTTTTACGAATACAGTGTACAAATACGTGTAAAAGCAGTGCAGTGTGCGAGTTGCCAGAGTTTTGATGTGTGTCATCTTTTAATGACAGACTGGATTAGTGAGAGAGCAAATACATTCAGTGGGTCCATGAGCATCATGGATGGGGAAGAGGGATAAATACTAACTAGTTTTGTCAGGTATTTACTCTTTCCCTGCGTCTTTGACAGTCCTAAGTGCTCATAGTCTGTTCTAGGAATGCCACAAATAGAACTATTCTATTTTTGGTTTAGTTAAAATCAAATTTCTCTGAAGATGTTTGTATTTCATGTTACCTGCTATTATGTAGAAACTGATGTTTTTTAATGCAGTAATATTTTGTAGTATGGCACAGGAAAAAAAGCATCAAATGTAAATTTACAAGTTCTTCAGCTCTTGGAAAGATATTAATTTGTAGTTACTTGGATTCTAGAGACTGAATTCAGCTTCATTTTTCTGAAACTTTAGGTTGTCTGTCCAATTGGAACATGCTAGTCTTGAGTTGCTAGTCTTATCTCACATGGTAAATTTCTCCCCCTTTTTTGCATCAATGCCAGGAGAGGTTATGTCATCAGAAAGTGTCTGTAAGTCTTTCTCCCTAAAACTCCTTTTAAACCCTTGTGGTGTAGTGTTTATTCCTTGTCTATTTTGCGGTGATGTACATCCTAGCAATTAAATTTTCTGATATTTGAGTAGTGTGGATAAGATCTTTATGGGTATCTGTG